TGACGAGGCGAGCGCCTCGTTGAAGCGAGGCGTTTCACGCTGCTTTTTTTTTTCTTTTTATGTTAAAAACCCACGAAAAACAACCCTGAAAACCAAATATCCACAGCCAAAAATCAAAATACCCACAGCCGAAAATTTCTTCGCTGTGTCCACCACTTTTGTCCTTGTATTATAATTTTTTCGATTTTTCTCTTCGATTCTTCCCATGTTTGCTTCAATTCTTCTTCAATTATTCAATTCTTCTTCGTCAATTCTTTAATTGAGAAAAGAACCAAACAATAGAACAGTAGAAGACAAAGAAGAAGAGTTGGAGAAAAAGAAGAATCAAGGAAGAAGTTGGAGAGCAATGGAAGAAGAATCAAAGAGAAATTTGAAAAACCAGCAAATTGAAATCATGTCGCTTCAGTTCTTCTCTCCTTTTCTTTTTTTACATTTCCAAGCCGTTCACCTTTTCTTTTTTACATTTCCAAGCCGCTCTCCTTTTCTTTTTTTATATTTCCAAGCCACACTAAACAAGTGCTAGCGCTAGAAAATTTACACCTGAAATAAAATTGCCATTGCCATCTGGTGGCAACACTTCCAAATGACAATAACCACTCCCTACTTTAATACATGGTTTAATTTAAATACAAATGTTTTTATATCTTTCTATTTAACCACTGTCTACTAATTTTTATAATTTATATTTTTAATTTTTCTTAAATATTAGAACTTAAGTTTTTAATTTTTCTTAATTATTTAAGTTAAACTTTATTTGCACATTAAAATGGTTGTACAAATATTTGCATCTAGAGTATTTTATTTTTTACTAAAATTACTATAGATAATATTTATTTATTATTTTATTAAATGCGTCTCGCTTCAGTCAGGCGTCGCCTTTTTATTGCCTCTTGCCTCAAGGCGATCAAAGGACTTGTCGCCTTGAGGTGCGCCTTGAGCCTCAAAAACACTGATTCAGGGACCATTTAGAACTATTTCTCAAACTTCATGGACCAAAAATATCTATTTTGAAATTTCAAGGACCAAATAGACACTTACTCCAAACTTCAGGACCAAAAATGTCCATTCTAAAACTTAAAGGACCAAATAGACACCTACATCAAATCTCAGGGACCAAAAGTGTATTTTACCCAAGAAAATATATTGAACCCCTAAATAGGATCAGGAAGCAAAAATGATATTATGTAGATGCTCATTGACTGGATAGATATCTCCTCTGACAAAGAAAATATATTCCACTTTGCTAAATACTATGCTACCTATCAACTGAAGGAAGAAGTAAAAAGGAACAAGAATAGAATAATGACTTATAAACACGTTTACATAGACCTCTAATTCAATATTACTACTTACTCATAAGCTTATATAGTGCTTTCTGAGTACGTCTTTCAAGCTTATCAAGCTTCTTCTGCACATCCCTTCTGAGGTCCCAGTTTGGTTTCTTTGGGGCAATATTTACAAATGGATCCTATAATTTTTACAATGGTATATGATTACCAGGAAAAGATTCAGAAAATAGGAGCATTGGCCAGTTTAAAAACATACAACAGCATAACTGATAAAACTACCTCTTTTAATTGTGGAGGTTCATTGGCAACAGGGTCCTCAAACTTTGGCAATACAGGTGGGGCAAGTTTACCCTCCTGAAGCTCTTTATCATGAGGGACATAGTTCCGAAATTTCATACTAAGATTACTGCAAATAAGTTGGAAATAATATCAGACTAAACATGTACCTGATAAAAGAATGATTGTTTATGTAGGAACACCTTTTTCCCCTAGCAAGAGAAAATCTATTGAAACACTTTTGAAAGTAAACATGAAAACGTATCTCAAAAGATAAATAAGCAGTTAAGTTGTATGCCATTGTTGTTGCAATCATCCCAAACTTTACAAGCACAAATGTTATCTGTTCACTTACATTTTATAACCTATAGCTAAGTTTCTAATACTAGAGAAAAGACACAACTAACTGATGGCAAGATACTTACATGAACATGCTTTGTATGAATTCTGTTCACTTACATTTTATAACCTATAGCTTAGTTTCTAATACTCTTTTATTTTTATTTTTTTTCTTGATAAGAAACTACGCTTTCATTGAGAAAAATGAAACAAGGAACAAGAAATACAAAGAGGGCCTACAAAAAGGCAGCCTAGAAGAAGGGAGCCCCCTAAAGAAAAGGGGGCCAATCCAAAAGAATGAATCCGAACGGATAATTACAAAAGGCCTTGGAATCAGAGCCCCATAACGAAGAAGTATTAAATCTAATGAGCTCCCAAACATAATCCACAAATTTCTCCACCCTTGACCCCCCCCTAAACAATTCCTCTCCAGCCAAATGCCCCAAAAAGTAGCCAAAAAACAAGCTTGCCACAAGAAACGCCCCCTATCCTGAAAAGGAGGGTGTAACAACACCTCCTCCATCATCGACCTTTTATCAAATACTTGGTCATCCTCGTGCTCTATTTGGACATTTTGTTGCCTATTATAGTTCTGTTCTGCAAATCGAAAGAAGATGGAGCTTACAAAGGAAGAAAGAAAAATGTAGTTTGTGCTACCACGATCATGCAGATACTGCTGCTATGGTAGTCGTTAGTTCTACAGAGCTTGGCTAAAAATGTCAGATACACAAAGATAAAGAGGCAGCTAAAGGCAGAGGAAAAAGAGAGGAAGGATAAATGGAAGGGAAAAAAAAGACAATGGACACAGATAAAGATGGTGACTTAAGGCAGAGGAAGAAGGAATTCACCATTCCTAGGAGAAGAAGACGACATTCTGGTTAGGAGCATATCACAAAATGAAATCTGTTATTTTTTCCTCTTCATCTCCTTCATGGTTTTCTTTCAATGGAATATTTGTTCAGTCAAGTCTCAATTTCTAAAAGTTATGAATAAGCCTCAATGGATTATTGTGCTTTTTTTTTTTTTGATAAAGAATGGATTATTGTGCATAAACTTCTCTATTGATTTCTTTTCACAATCCATTCATGTTTCTATATTCTTAAAGCTCCTAATCTATAGGTTGTAAATGAGTAGAACTATAGTTTAGGATCCTACATTAGGAGATGAGATTGTAGGCTCGATCCTGAAGAGCACAATTTAAAGAGAACATAGTTGAGGGAGGAAATTACAGTCAGAGAGTAGAATTATAACTGGACCTAATTGAACATTACAAATGTGTTAAAATGTGCTTAAAAGTGAAGTGATCCAAATCATGAATAGGAGAATATCACAAAAAAAATGTCATCAATCCAATCATTACTGATATCGACTTACTCAGAAAACGTAACGAAAAACCTTCTAGAAGAACTAACTTCTAGCATAGTAGATTGACTTTGATGGAAGAAAATGATATACACTCACGTTTCTTCAGTATCTTCAATAACACCATTATCTTTATCCTCGCCTCCAGAAGTCTTCTCATCCGGCGTGTTTAACAATTCCTGAGCAGCTCTGAGAGCTCTCAATCTCTCTTTACGAGCTGCAGCAACTTGTTCGACAGAGTCTTCTTCAGTAGCCATTGCCTAACGTATGTAAAACATCATATAAGAAAATAACTAAAGATATCATTCTCAGTTGTTCTCAAGAAAGGAACTATAACAATACCACAGTAATATTCATCAGAAGCTCTATAACATACTTTCTAGGCAATCATACATCATTCAACTAACAAAATTTCAGCATGCTACATACACAAACATGCATGTTTTAAACAAGTTCATACCACCCTATCAAATCACAACAACGCCAGCATGCTTTACAGTAAACATAGTCAACAAATACGTTTACCCAAACATCAAGCATATATTTCCAATCTACAAAATTCTCAACAATATCAGCGTGCTTTTACTAATACCCATAATCATGTATTTCCTCATAATCATCAAACAACAACATATTCAAGCAATTATAATCTACCAGAACCAACAAAAACACATCCGTCACGCCACATAACCCAGCAAAATCTTCTAAACCATAAACCAACATCCATAAAGAATTAATGAGAACCAATATCCAACATATATATCAATAGATATGATTAAAATCATAAGCATAATAAAACAAACAATTTGTAGAATCACAAGACAAACATGCCCAAGTAAGAACTACTTACAAAGGGTTCTAATCCGCTCCTAAACTCCACGAATTGGTCCCTAAACAAAAGAGATAAGGTTTTCTCGGTTAGGATTCGGGTTCGTGCAAGGGAGTTTCGTTTGTGCCGGCGTCGGATCGCCTGCAAGGAGTCGCCAATCGTCTGCTGCCTCGCCGGAGAGAGGAGAGGGCGAGGGGGTTCTACGCTGCTTCGTCACTGATCGGGGTCGCGCCGCTGCGGGTTGTCGCCGGCGAGGGAGGCCGTGGGGGCTGCTGGTTTCACAAACAAAAAAAGGGCGGTGGCGGCTGGCTTATGGGAGAGATGAGAAAGAGCTTAGGGTTTCTAGTGTGAGTAACTTCGAGGGCTTTTAGGGTTTTTGTTTTAAGGAGCGTTTAGCACACAGGGTTTTTTTTTTTTTTTTTTAATACAACATGTGGGAGTGGGAATTCGAACTCATGATCTCTTAGTCAGACATATATGTCTTAACAATTTAAGAGTTATATTCGACTTGACATTTAGCACACAGGTTAGACTTAGGTAGCATTGGTTTAGATAGCTAGAGTTTAAGTCTAACGTTCTGTAAGTCGTAGGTAGTTCGCATTTAGAAAAATTGTATTTTGGATGAAGTTTTAAGTAAGCCTTTTAACAATCATATGTTTGTGTGATAGGTAACTGCTTCAAATAAAAAAAGAATGAAATAGAAGCAAAATTTTGATACAGAGGGTTATTACTCTCTTGGAGCTCCTTTATCATGGTCTAATCAAATTGAAATCAAAGTTTTAAATGTCGATGTTGATGGAAATATCGATGTCGGTGAATATTTCTGTAAAAGTTATAGAAATTTAAATTAACAAATAAACATTTTCATATTTTTACATATGTTAAAAATAATTAATATTAATATTATGTATATAGTGACATTTTGTTAGATATTTTTTGTATTTTGGCGATTTTTTTATACTATGATGGAAATATCTATTTACCCCTAATATGTTATTGTTCAACCCATAAAAATATGGACATAGAACCGTGATTGAAATATGATATAGTGTATTCACAACAACTGTGAAGGTTTCTTCTAGAGCTGCCTAGTGGCAGTCTAGAAATCTATGTTAGGGGCTTAAATAAATAAATAAATATGTATACGCTAGTTTATATGTTTTGATATTAAGTTGGGTACATTAAAAACTTGTCTTTTAACTTTCAAATTTATACCTAATAGGATTCTAAAATTATAATTTTGTGTCTATTAAGTCCTTAAACTTTAAAAATATTCTAAAATGTTAGAGATTAATTAGATAAAAAAAAACTGAAATTTTGTTGACCCCTATTAAATTTAAAATTGAAACTTGAAACGTTCAAGAAGACATACACATTGTTTAAAGTTCTAGAACAAATACAACTCTTAAAGTTTATTAAACTCATAATTTAACAAGTTTGTTTAATAGAAATATTACTAAATTTTATATATTAGTAAGAAACACGTGCGGTGCACGTGAAATTTCATAGTTTTTATTTCAATGTTTAAAAATATAAAATTTAATTAAATAGTTAAAATTTATAATATAATTTGGTTTTTTATCTCTAAATGTTTACCTCACCAACTTTTTTCGTATTTTCAATGTTTATCTCATAAAACAACGTCTCAATAATTCTCATCACTCACTGATGTGATTAGTGTGACTAAAAGTATTATTCTTCAATTACTTAAATTTTTTTTCTAAAAAAAACACATATTCAGAGATTTTTCATCTTTTTTTTTTCCTAAACATAACAATAAGTAATACAACTTTGTTTCAATTTCTTATTTGAGTCATTGAAAAATAAAATGACAAAAAAAAGTGAGAGATAGAGATGCATTCAGGACAGCCATTCTTTTCCATGTTTGAGTTTCGGTCCAATTCCTTGTCCGAGCTCGTCGGGAATGGCAACCACAGCCATGTTCAGATGAATTACTCAAGCTATTTTCATCACACGATGATCACCTTACCAAGGAGGAGGTCATTGAGAGAGTCCTCGCGGTTACCAAGTGTCATCCCAAAGTGGATCCGTCCAAGGTGATTCGATCTTATCACTAATTTTCACTTTTTTTTTTCTAGTTCATTGAGTCGTTTGGAAAAAAAAAACTAAAAAAATTGAATATTCAATCAAACAATCTAACTAAATATAAGAAAATACAAGACATTGACTAAAAGAGAAAATTTACATACCGAAAGAGAAAAGAAATTCAAGTTTTGATGAAGAAAATGTTGGGAGAAAGAGTAAGAAAAAACTCTTTATATATTTGTAGAAAATAAGAAGTTACAAAACTTTTGAAATTTCTTATTAATTATAATTCAAAATAAGATATAACTTTTTAACATAGAAATAAAGAGACAAAACCCTCCATATTCTAACTCTTTATATTCTAACCTTTAAGAGGGATAGTTTATTAGAAAGAGAAAATTAATTTGAGAAATGTAAAATTTGTAACAATGGAGATTAAATATTTTAAAAGAAATGAAAAAAAGAGAAAGTGGCGTGGGAGGGAGAGAAATAAGGAGTGAGAGAGAAAATTTTATAGTTGAAAGACAAAATTACTCTCAAAATATATATCAGAATTTTCAAATTAAAAGGACAAAATAAGGAGAAAAAGTTTCTCCCTATAGCCCTTTTTATATATACTATAGATATAGATAAGTTTAGAAGAAAGAGAATGAAACTTACCAAGACAATTATTTTTCATACTTGTAGATATTTTAGGATAAATTTAAATTATTTTAAAAAATATGACCTACAATGTAAATTTATTAGATATGGAAGTCTAAATTATTTACTTTAAATGGAAAAAGAACTTTTATATTTTATTAAATAATGAAAATAAAAAGGGAAATCTTTAGAAATGGCTACCATTAAGAAAAATGGCATTTTAGAAAAGGAAAGGGAACAACTCATAGAAGGAGGCTGACAGAGGAATGAAGGAGGCGGGAAGCTACCGCTTCTAGAATGCAAGCAACTCCTTGACTTTTTTTTAGAGCGTACCGCTATTGAAATAATAAAAAAAGGTTGATGGATGAAGTAATCGGAGTGACAAATGATTACGGTTGCGGAAACCGGAGAAAGTCGGGAACCGTCGGTGACTTTTTGAATCAAAGTAGCGACGAGCCGAGTACTACGACTACAGGGGGGGGGAAGCAAAGCTTCTACGACAGCTTCGCTTCCTCGTCGCTTCTTTTCTTTCTGGCGACTAGCTTCTCAAGTGGGTGGCTTGGTAAGCAAGCTACCTTCARCATCGGTCAAATCCCTATCAATAATAGGCCGGAATGGTGGGGAAGGATGCCCTCCCTACTTTAATGGAAAGGGGGGAATCGCATTTCACAACCGCTCCTCTACAACTACCTTTCACCCAACATGATCACGAACGAAGACAGATAATTGCGTAGATGCCAAAATTTTTCTAAATTGCATGTCATGGCCAGATTTGACTTTCTAAAATTTAGAAGGATATTACATATTTACCCCTCCACACATTTCATGTCCATAGTACCCTTGCAGCATTTCTCCATTTTACCAATCCACACGTTTTCAATCTCCCACATTCGACAGATCAATGTTCACACGAAATCCCTCAAATCTCTCCCCAAACTAGCAAAATGTTATGAGACTTATTGAAACCAACTACAAAATCTACGTAATCCCTAAACTCTTTCCACAAAATTGAAACCACCAAATCTACCTATATCATTCAAATTAGTTTAAAATATTATTAATTTCTTTTTAACAAATATAACTAATTGGTTTGAAAATTCACTGATTATTTTGTTTCTTCGCGTTTTTTGTCGATATATTGCATATGTTATTTTATATATATACCCGGTCAATGACCATCAGTCCGAAGTCCAAGTACAGAGCAACCAATTTGAAGTTGATATTTTTAACCGTACATTCACATATAGACAATGGAACTTAGACTTGATCTCATGCCCACATGTGCATGTCTTGCTATTGGTCAGAGAGGATGACATACATCCAATTGGTCAGACTTACAACATTGCGTCAACAGTTGGTCAAGATGAGAGAGACATCCCCATTCAAATGTAAAGCGCTCTGTTGGTAGGCTATGGAAAAAGAGATTTGTTGCTCTTGTTGAAAAGAGATCAACAGTAAAATGTGGTAGATGTGGTCGATCATGACACAATCGGAGACGGTGTAAAAACACACTTTGACATTTGTTTTGTTCTTTGTTTTAACTTAATTGTAATCTTCACTGTCTTTTTTATAATAAAGAATGAGAGTTATTTTATTATTTGTTTCCCAGTCAACAATTACATCATCACCAATTTGGGGGCTGGATAGAATATCGTCACAATCAATTGCCTTATATAAGTTGTATTTTGATAACGTAGTATTAAACAGTCCATATACATAGTATATATATGTAGCTACTTCATGGTCAAAAGGAAGCATATAAAATCAGCATAAGAGAATCCAACATCTGGTCATGAAATGCAATTAGATATAGGATTAAATTGTCCATACACCATATAAGTATGTAGTTACCCCATTTTCAAAAGAAATCATAAAGAAGTTACAACTAGTGGTAACTTCCTGATCCTGCAAGTCAAAAATAGGCACCAATTGCCTTGCCTTTAACCATATCTACATGGGGAAGAAGATGAGTTTCAACATATTATAAGACGCTAACGAATTACCCAAAATAAAGAAGACATGGAAGTATTAAACTACGGCTTTTGAAATGAATACATCAAGATTTTGAAAGAATGTTTATTCAAAAAGGGAAGTGAGGAAGTTCCTATACTATCTCACAAAATAAGTAAGAGATGTCAATACGACGGGATAGATATAGAGTTCTACAGATGACCATTTTGTGGTTATCCTTGTCCAAAAACAGTTGTAGATATTATCTTTGAACATTGATTATAGAAAACCAATATTCATC